CAGGTCTGTTTTTCGGTCGGTGTCACAAAGAGTGTTGCAACACTTCTTGTAACACTGATGATAATAAAAGTGTAGACATATTTATTTTTCTTTTAATTTAGTTTCAGTGATTGTGAGTGCAATAAAATAATAGAAAGCATAAAGAACACACGAAAATGGTATCGTAGTTCGGTGCGCATACTTACTCTACGGGGCAACGCCCAGACAATGAACAATCCACTAAGATCAAATGATTACAAACACCAATCGGACTTATACACCCAAAGACTTCCTCTCTGACGTTGTCGCTGTCGTGTCGAATCTCCTTAATGGTCTTGTCCAGCGAGCACCACTCGTCTTCAAACTACACGGTGAAATCCCTTCGGTTGGCAGTGCACTTTCTTCCGAAAGCTTCTAATCCTTCTCCCGAAAGATGATCTTCAATCAACACATAAAGGCTCACACTCACATAGACTTTTTCTGAATATTTCTTCTATAAAAACCATGCCCCAAATGTCACCTTCAATTTCTAGAAACTCAAAGACATAAAAAAAAAAAAAAAAAAAAACAATTTCCCTTCCTTCCTAGGCACACAACTTCACGAACACACATGCAATATATATAACAAACGTTATCCACTCTGCATAACCACTCATGTTAAACCCATAATAATCTTCACAAAACCAACCACAACCGATTTTTGGTGCTAAAAGAGATAATGGCGTCTATTTTGCATTGTTGTTTTCCACGTGATAAAATTATCACATTCATTCTCTTTGAAAGTCTAATCAACTACTAATTAAAAGATTTAAATTATTCTCATATTCAAGTCTGAATCCTTGTAGCACCTTATTTTCATATTCAAGTTCGAATCCTTGTACAACACCTTCCAAATATTAATTTCCATCAACAAAATCATTCTAAATTTGAAGCAATTAACAACTAAAATCACCTCAAAATCTAAATCTACATCAATCATGAACTTAACCCTATTTTTAAATTTTGTACAACCCAATTTCAAAACATGCCAACTAATAAAATGCTAACAACCTCGAGTTACGTCCCTATCGATCAATGTCACAGGTATTATGATGGAAGAATTGGAGAACTAAGGGATAGTGATCAGCACATGGACCAACATCAGTGATGAGGTCAGTCCGCGTTGCTCTCTTTTGGTTGAACCCTTTGTCCTGACAGTTATTAGGTACTCATACTCCGGGCGTTCTCGGCACCACTTGCAATGTCTTTGACCCTGGACTCTAGGATATTTACCAGAACGCCACTTTCAAAACTCCAAAAATAAGCAAAAGCTAACATGTAACTTTCTTTTGAGAATGTTCTTTTGGGGTGGAATCCCAACTCAACTTTAAAGGGGTTGAGCAGTAATCCGGAAGTGGTCAAGGCAGTTATTGACTAACATGTAACTTAATTGAGTCAGGAAGTTGATGATTAATTATTAGGATGAACCTAGGATGTTTTTTCTTTTCTTTTTCTTTTTTTTTTCTTTTCTTAATTATGAACTAGGATGTTTTTAATCCTGCTTGTAAGTTAAGTTTCAAGATATCATATCAGAGACTTTTTTTTTCTCCTTTCACTAACAGATTTAAAAAAAGTTTTTTTTTCAAAAAAAAAAAAAAATTGAGGAGACTACTTTATAAAAATGATATTGAAGAGAGAAGGCATCTCCACATTACTTAGGGGCGGTTCGGTAGCTCTTTTTTTGAGTTAAAAACTCAAAAAAGTAACTTGAGTTATAATTTTATTCAAGTTCATGTTCTTTTAAGTTTGAACTCGAGTTTGAATTCGAGTTTGTAACTAAAACTCGAGTTCAAGTTTCCTCTTCAACTCGAGTTCAGAAACTTAAACTCAAATTAATGAACAGTATTTTTTATATTTTTAAAAATGCTATAACTTTTTCGTTTTAATTCTGATTGAGATGATTTTTTTTCTATGCGTTAACAACGAAAAGACGAATAAAACCCCACCCATATACCCTATTAAAATTTTTCATCAGCATTAAGTTTTTATTAAAATACTATCTAAATACAAATTCAAGTTTTGACTCACTTAAACACAAACTCAAAAAGATTTTTATCTCAAACCATAACTCAAATGTACACAACCAAACACAAACTCAAGTTACAACTTCAACTCAAATTATAACTCAAACTCAATTCAAAATCTACACTCAAATCACCTAACTCAAAAAAGGGCAAAACAATAAGCCCTTATTAATTCCTAAACCATTAACTGCTCATACCCATTTCAGAGACAAACTCGAATCCAATAAATTATTACGGAGAACAACTAACATCATCCTCTTATAAAACAACCAGCCGTAATGAATCAAAGAGTTTTAACTTAGGAAGAGTGCCTCAAGTTGTTATTTTGGTCGCTAAATGATTTTGTGCTCAAACCAACAAGAAGAGATCTATCATGCTTAATATATTTAATTTTCTTTACCTATACTATTAACGAAAATAGAAGCAGAAGTAGTTTCTTTCAAGCTTCTTGCAGGGATCAATTTGGACCATGAATTCTAATGTTCACACATCACATTGCATTTTCTAAGAGATGGTCCTGACATGGGATAAGCCCATTCATTAAAGGCCACTCCTTGGGACCAGCCCACTCTTTAAATTGTGATATATAGTCGATGGATTATTATTATGTCTCTTCTACGGGGATTAATTAATCAAAGACGTGCATAAAGATGAGTAAATTCTCAGCAATTTTGCATGTCATTTTGGGGTGTTTTGGGAACAACAGGCCATATTACATAAAACCAACCATGCACCGAAAGACAGAGAAAGGAAACTTTGTCTAGTAACGATAATAACTACCATTAACATGTTGCGAATTCCCAGGTACGGAAAAAAAGCACAAAATACAATGACTAAAAGAGAGAGAGGAAAAAAAAAAAAAAAAAAAAAAAAAAAAAAAAAAAAAAAAAAAAAAAAAAAAAACAAAAGCACCAAGAACTGGACC